GGGTCTAGGCCCAAAACGGCAGCTTTCCTGCTCCTCTGATGCTGCTTGGCCTGCTGTGTTCATCCAGCTCTACACCTTGTTATCTCAGATTCTCCAGCATCTGCAGTTCCTACTATTTCTGAACTTCATGGTTACCCCTGTTATACTCCATTTGCCATTGTCACATTTAATCCTATTTCGACTGCTTTTTTGAAAAAGCTCAGGGAGATCAGAAAGTCAGTGAGCATCCTGCTCTGACACCCCTGTGGTGGCAGTGAGAGAAAGCAGCTCACATTGGACAGTCTCGTTGAAGCTGGTGCTCAGTGACACAGTATGACTGTGGAACTGTACCCTTGTGTTCTACACTTGGGGAAAAAAAAGTACATCAATTTTGGAAGCAGAAGGGGAAGTGAAAGAACAGGAAAGCAGATAGCCGGATGTGCAGTCTTTGAGCATTGATCTTATTCATTTCCCTTCCAGCGTGTTCAGGAGAGGCTCCACATTGCCCTGGCTATCAGCCCCGCTGGATCCAAGTTCCGCCAACGCTGTCGGATGAACCCCTCACTGGTTAACTGTTCCACCATAGACTGGTATGACAAGTGGCCCAAAGAGGCCCTGCTCAGAGTGGCAAACGTCTACTTCACCCAAGTGGATTTTGATGAGGTACATGCTATTACCGTCTCTGCTGGCATAGACCTGTAGTCAATTTAGTTTCTTTAATATAACAGTTACTCCTTGAGTACAGGGTTTCTCATAACCTTTCCTTCAAAGACTTTCACAGAGTCAACCTGTTTCACTTTGGTAAAAGCTACATCAAGCTGCCTATGTATAAAAACCAGGCTAGGAATGTAAACACACGCTGGTCTCGTGATTTCTTTAGTTATGGAATGGCAAGGTACAACTGGGAACTGTTTTCTCTGGAGTTGAAAAAGAAAGTTTCTATCTGTGAGCTCAGTGTTATTTAATAAACTCTCCAATTCCTTGAACTCGGCCTGTTATAGTTTGAGGAATGGTCAATGAAGGAAACAGCTTCCTGACTGCTCATCTTGTTCCATCATAACACCTCTATTTAGGATTCCAGTTTGTGTTGTTACATGCCCATTGGAATTCATCTCTGAAATTCTGCAGGTAAGACAGTGTCATTATCTTCTTCACCGTTTGTACAGTTGGTACTGATGGAATGTCCCAATTCAATTCAACCTTTCATTGAAATTGACAGAATTTTTGATTTTAGCACAAATAATAACTTTCCGTGACTAATTTGTATCAAACAATTAACCAATTGTACCATCCCATCCAAGTTTCCCATTGCCATCACCATCCTGCTTTGTGTTATCTCCATCCTATTCCTCAAGCAGACAATCTCTGCAGCCAGGGTACCTTCACTGTTGGGTTTCCATTACTTCCCACTATTCCTTTATCCTCCATGGGCCCACCCTGTGCACCGCCAAAAGTGCCACTTTGTGTGACTCACTCTACACACAATCCAATTATGAGCAACTGTAGCTCATTTGGTTTCAATGCTGCTCTGCCTTTCAATAAGACTGTGGCTTTTCAGATTACCCCACATTCTTACCCTGAAAACATTTCACCCCTTTGCTTTTCAACAATCTGTCTATCTCTCTATGTTAAAAATATTCAAATGTTCCACTGCCTTTTTGAGGAAAAAATTCCAAAGACCTGTGAACAGCTGTATGGAAAAAGTCT